TGATCAATGCGCGGAAAAGTTCCAGTAAAAGTTATATAAATGTGTTGCACATCAGAATGAAGCAATGAGTGGTGTAGCTACACAAGTGTTTGCCCTATCTCGCCTCACGCTCTCATTATTCGAAGATTCAGGATGGTACAAAGTTAATTACGAGTGAGTACATTTCTTCAGCGTAGTAGGAACAGAAACGTAGACGTTCGTAAAGTCCCCTCATTTGAATCTTTCCTTCCAGTAAAGCCGAAGACATGACCTGGGGACGTAATCTTGGCTGCACTTTTGCTCAAAAAAGCTGCCTAACGTGGATGAAGAAGAACCCGAGGAACCCGTATCCCTTCTGCAGGATCTACGAACATCAGAGGTGACTCGTTTCGATGTTTGTTGCATACATGGGTACGTTTCCAAACTTTTCCTATTTCGGATTTCACTGCGGTTGATTACTGAGGCATCGAAAAATCGCCTGAAGTCCAGAACCTTCCTTAGTGTTGGTTAGAACGAAGAACCTAAAATGGCACCTCGTTCTAACAATGAGACGCCTTTGAAACCAACACTAGCGGCAAAAGCCAAGCTTGAAGTAGCATTTTTGACTTTTTATCTACATACTTAATCTTAGAGGCAGAGCCCACGATTGGGTATAAGTGTCTTAGTTCATTGTATGGAGCAGCAATGTGTGCTGCAAGAACAATTCTGTACAAGGCACGTGATAAGGTAGCGGAAAGATAATGCGCAAGGTTGCTCCAGCGACTCCGCCCAAGTTGGTCGTTTGCAGGCTTTCTTTCTATATTCTCTGGCCACGCTTGACACAAATATAGCCTTGCTTGAGACGTTTTTGGAGATTTTCTTTTCCTTCTTTCTCCACGCGCAAGTCAACTACGGCATACGATTCTGCTTCTCAACCACGCTACCTACGAATTTTCCTTGCCATATCGAAGTCCTGCCTCAAATCCAACAGTATCAATATGGATCGCTCAGAAGTAATGCAATAACATTTCGCAACAACAATATCTGAATTATTAATAATCAAATAATTAATAAAATAATGAATAAAGTGTGTTGACAAGCGGTGCTACATAACATATGCGCGTTCGGGAGGATCCCGGATCAGCTCTTGCCCGACTCAAGCAAGATATTAGACTCCCGAGAGGGTAGAAATACTAACTCGAACATGGATCGGCCCCTGTAAATTTTTGCCGAGGCATATCGCATTCAAAAGCCATGAAATTAGAGTACAGTAGCCTTTCGACATCTTCGTAGTGCGTACGTGAGCGGTGTCTTTGCAGATGCAGCTCCACTCGCAAAGCTAAACTTCGCTGTTCTTTGGTGGCCGAAAATAAAACCCTTCCTGATCAATACAACTACAATGTTAGGGGCTTGTATCAGGACCAGAAGGGTAAAGAAATTCTTGGTCATGGATCTATTGAACTGGCAGATTTCTGTCCTTATTACAGGGTAAGTTATGTTTTCAGATGATTTTTTCTGACAAATGAGATCCATTCCCGTTCCCAAGGTGTCCTTCCCCCTTTCCAAAGTGCGCTACGTGGCCTCCAGTTGAACCCTACTACCGGAGTGGCCGCTAAACCGTTACTCAGGCTTTCAAAGAGCGAACATATTAGTATACGGCTTTATACAACAATGCCGTCACGGTCGTTGATAACGGAAACCTGAGTGTTCTCCTGGTCTTGCTAGCCGTTGGTTTTTCCTGCAGTATTCATCACGAAACGCATGTTACGTGTTTCGCGGCGGTCCGCAGGCATTTTCTGATGGGATAGACAAGAGCATGCGCACATACTACAAGCATACCCACGAGCCGACGAACTGAGTCATTAAGTTGCGGCTTTATAAGAGTGCAGATCCTTACGTGAGTTCGGACTCACTCGTATTTAGATTCTAGATCTAGGCTTAAAGGATGCAACCGAGCACCATTTACAAAGAAAATAGGAACTTCGGTCTTCAGAGTAAGAATGCTTGTGCAATGGTGATCTGAGCTAGGACTCTTACATTTCAGGTTTATACCGATTCTTCAAAAGAGGACAGTGATACAAGGTGTACCTATCCGGATAACATGCATTATAATAATTACTCATTAGAGGTGAGCTGCAGCAATTCGCGCAAAAAAATTGAACTCTCCTCTCTAACTCGTGTTTTTTCCGGATGTTTAATAAAAGGGGCATTGAACTGACCATGAGATTCTCAGATAAACACGCTCTGTAGTATTCAACTGGGAGGGGGTGGGTCGTAAGCGCAGGGCCCTTTCTGAAGTGGAGAGTGCAGCGATACTCAGATGTCGTTCAGCTTCAATGATGAAAAGACTTATTCATGTGAAGAACCCCTGAAGAGACACACAAGACAGAAGCAACTGCCAGCGCAGAAGTGGGGAGCGGGCGATGACAGCAAGTATGTACAACGGCCGCCTTTCTGATTGCAGTAGCATGTCTGCTTCCACGGAGGAAGCCCTATCTAGAAGTTGCACCTTCCCAATACCTCTGCGTGAGAGCCCTATGCATGGCGCATTACAGAGGTGATGCCAATCGGCGCCGAATGAACTATTTCCTGGTACCCTTGGCGGAAACATGTGTTTCAGAGGAGCCAGCCGGTGGCCCACTAAGAGTTCTCACATTCCCAGACAAGTCTGGAAAAATGCTTTCTCTCTTTGAAAGATTGGCATGGGCAGGAGCAATGCAGGGTTGATATAGGTTCTCTTTATGAGCAACATGATGAACCAGTCGGCAACCGGCAACCATTCAGCAGATTACAGGAAGGACCGTGAAATCGAATAGAGCATGGAGACAAATCTTCTTTTTCGTCTTTTCCTTTTTGTTCTCCTTTTTCTTCACTCCCATGATTTCAAAGCTCTTCAACCGCTCTTCTCTCCCTGCTCACCCTGCTCAAGTTTTTTATTGACTTCCCGATCTCGGTACTCATAACTAGAGCATCCTGAGATATTTGTTCTTTGCTGAAGGAGTGTCACAGAACAGTCTGCTTTTCATGGATATCAATTCCGTCAGATGCAGACGCAAACCTTTTTGCTACCAACCGCTCTGCTTGTATGACGTTCGTTTTACCACAACGATGTAGCCAGCGGAGCGGAAACAGTGTAACCGACCGTCAATCGTCACTTCCCTGTCCTCCTTTCACGTCACGTTCAAGGTCCTTGGAAGAGGGGCTGAGAAGGGAAGTGGGGTCTCTTGTAAAATGGTGACACCTTGGTCTTGACGTTGTTTGTAGAGCACACCGCCAACGCCTCTGCTGGCGCACAAATCAAGGTGCAGTTCTTCTTCAATTCCAAAAATGATGTGTACCGTGAGATTTCTTCTCACCTCGATCTGTCCGATGCCGTCGCACTTATCTTCCTGACTTGCATCATTAGACCTTCAGTGTGAGCTTCCAGCGCAAGTGTTCGTAGATCGTCATACTCAGAGAACGGATGGTTTCTCCGTTGGCCCAGAGTTTCCTACAGTCTCTCCAGTGCAGTAGTCCCAACTAACATCGATATGTCGGTGGTTCCCCTAGGCTCAGAAAAGTGATGCCCATGGTTGTCCCTGTTTTCGGCATATAATTGACCACACGTAGCTTGACGTGCTATAGTGTGGTACGCATTCGTCGCTTGATACGCGCACCTTCCTTGCTTATTGGCTGTCAGAGAATCTGTCCGATCTCTATGGCTAGATGCAGCGGACTCCCACTGACAAATCACTCTTTCCGAATATCGCATGACTCATTCACGAAGGATCTTTTGCCGAGCGGTAGGCAAATTCCTGCCAGGTGAGAAGGACTCAAATAAGTGGCCCCTTCATGAGTTCTTTTGCCATGACATCCAGAGTCAGGAGGAAGAGGAACGGAGGGCTGATCCTTGGTGTACCCCAACCGTAATGTTTACCTCCTTTAAGCCGTGAGGGGTGCGTACAGCTGTTAGCCCCATCGTACATGTCCTTCACTATGGAGACCAGGTGCTCCGGAACGTTACGTTCTCTGAGCGCTCTCCAGAGTACAGGCCGAGGCAGGCGGTCGAATGCCTTCTCCAGGAGGAGGCTAGGTAGCAGTCCGCCGCTTTTCTCGGTGCCTACGCCGTTCCTTGCTATCATCGATCAATAGGATCTCCCAAATCAAGTCCAGAGGTGTTCCATCATAAACTGTTTTAACTTTTGCAAGCAGTCCCTGGAACACTAAACTCACGCCTTCAGCAACTTCAAAACAAACCATCCTGAAAAAAATGGTAATCAGGCCTTTGGCCATGGTGATGAGCGTAACAGCCTGATGCGCAATCGTTCTGAGCACATGAAAACGAAACTTGTCGGCAATTTGCTCAAAGAACACTTCTGAAGAGAGCTATTGATATCGTCGTACGATACTCAGATGCTTGAGAAAAACTAGGAATTTGTACTCGATAAAGTGCAGGAAAATGAGACGTATCCTTTAAAAACAGCACTAACAAAAACCACAACACACTTACTTTGGGAAATGTGGATGTATAAAAAGGTGCCAGAGGCAACATAACTTTGGAAAAGATAAAAAACAGCCATAAAAAATGCTGAGGAGGGAGAGTTGACGAAATTGCAACTTATCTTCACGAATGTTTCGTTTTTCCGCTAAAATGCTGAAGTGGAAATTCACATGTTGAACTGGAGGAACATCCCAGGGTTAGTTAATCAGATATTAGGGCGCAAACACAATCAATATGGGATGACGATCCCTTTAAGAATTGAATAAAGAACCGAACGAGCCGCAGAGCAAGAATACTCGTACGCGGCGGACTCTACGCCGCCCACCAGCGCGGCGACCCACTCACCACTTGACGATGGAATCGCCACATACCCAATGCTGCAGCACAGTCTGTGCGGCAGCCCCGCTCTAAAAACAACGCGGAGAATTTGTGAAGCGAGCTTCAAACTTTTGAGGACACAACTTCGTCTAGTCTTAAAAATGAATGAAGAGTTACACGCCTTCGAAAACCAGAGAATCTTTTTTTCTAATCGGTACCACACTTTAGTTGTAGTGCTGTAATATTGTGAGCATTCGCCCGTTGCTGTAATGAGTGAAGACTAGGCAAGCTCTTCCCTTTAACGCGAGTTCGTGAACCCTAAGAACGTTCAGCTTCGTTCATACATAACTCAGGGAAACCTTCATTACATCGGTAACAAACCTCCTGTTCTTTTTCTCTTTTCCTCTTTTCTTGGAAAGACCTCCTCTTTCCATACATGAAAAGATCACCTCTTTTATTAGGTTGTTTGGAAAGAAATGCGCGTTGAATTGTCCATTTATTTCTCTCCTACTATAGAAGATTTTCAAAACAGTTTTGTCTATTAGAAAGAGATTTTTATTGTGCATCTTTTGATATATTTTGTCTATGTCTACTTTGTTTTTTAAAGAAAAAAGTTACTTCTTCTCTCTTCTTACTGCGTCGTCAAGGTGTCGAAACGACGTCGACAAAACTCCTCCACGACAACGCTCGTCCACATGTCGCGAAAATCACTTTGGAAAAAATTGAGGAATTGGGCTGGGAAGTCCTGCCTCATCCGCCGTACAGCTCGCCTATTACCATCTGTTCCGGTCGATGCAGCACTCCCTGGCCGAGAGAAAGTTCACAAACCGCGAAGAAGTCCAACTACTTTGAGTCGCAGCCGGCCGAGTTCTTCGAAAGAGGAATCCATTCTTTGCATAAACGTTGGCAACAAGTCATTGATAGTAATGGAGATTATCTTTTGAATTAATCTTGTTTAATTTCGTTTTTATAATAAAAAAATTTTAAACTCATGCGCGCATTTAACAACCTTATAGAAAAAAAACTAATGGAATCTGCGCAGTGTAGGACTTCTATGTTGAAAACCGCCCGTCGACAATTCCGCATCGAGCGTTTGCCTCACCTGCTACAATGGGATCGATCCGCTACATCGCTCACGCTTCCACCTGGAAACCACAAAAAACATTTGATACACCTCCTCCACTTGTAATACGCAATAACTTGAGCCAGAGGCGTTGGTCAATCTCTCTGTGGGATGCACCACGCACCCATCTTCCCTTTAAAATTTGCAGTGCCCTTTATGGAAATCTATAAATGGACTGTGAACCTTATATGGACCAAACATCCTTCTGAGAGAACTGATAGGTTCATTGTTTTTACCAATGGTAGTTTGTTACTGAGGCAGGAGATGGTGTAGTGAAAGTGGCACGCTTACCACACGCGCGGTTCCTGGTTGAAATCTCGAGTCGATTTCCGTCCAGCAAGCTCTCCTCCCTGCGGAGACGGTAAATTGGAACCAGATTTGTCTGGGAGGATAAGAACACTGACTTGTACATCGGCTGGCCCCCGCACTTCATTGTATGACCATTTTCACTCAATAAGCCATTACGATTCTGAATGGAGTAGAATGCGTGAGCACCACAAAGGGCATTAATCAACAGCAGCGACTTTATCCCTGATTCTAATTTATTGCCACGTTGTACTTTTATTTGCTACAAATACTTTGCTATAAATCGCAACTCGACAGAATATCGCGCTGAGGGGCGGGGCACAAAAGCGAGTGCAGTGCTTCACCAAGACTATCATTATAACTAGCCGGAAGGTAGGCAGTGAATTTTTCGATATTAAACGTCATGCACTTCCTTCATTGCTATTATTGTTCAAGAAGTGCTTCTCGTAGCCGACTCGAATCATTTTATCACACAGAGATCCTCAGATGAAGGTGCGAGTTGAAGGCTATAGAACAAAAGCCGTACAGCTGATATATTTAGAGCGGCCCTAAGGGAACAACGAAATGAGCGCACCCTCGAAAAATGTAAGGTGTGAATTCAAGTCCCTCCCATCAAGACATTTGCTCAAAACTTAGTACTCTTAGCAGTTTTTCGAAGCACGCATTTTTTGTGGTTTCTCTCTACTCAATCTTGAATGTTTGAGGGTTCGATAACACACTTTTTACTTGATTTGTGATCACTTGTGGTAGCCAACCTCTAACTAACTGCGGTCATGTCGCGAACAAGCAAGCGCTTCTCTGCTTTCTTGATAACCTTGTAGACGCCGCGTCGCACTCAGATGTGAGACTTGTCAACACAATGAGAGGAAGAACGATTCGTACAAACATACTGAGCTCAATAATGCAAACTACTTTCAACGAAACCAATACAAAGTCTTCTCCTAAGAGAATAGTGAAGTGTGTATTCTTGGTGACGCTTGTTTTTCCATTC